GAACTACATATTATAGAATTCCATTTATCTGAAATGTCTAAAAAAAGGTAAAGCTATAAGAGACAGAAAATAGTTCAGTGGTTGCCTGGAGCTTGAGAGAGAAATGAGGACTGACCTCAAAAAAGCACACGGGAAATTTCAGGGATGAGGAAAGTGTTCTAAAACTAGATTGTGGCCCTAACCAGTTTGGCTCAAAGGACAGTGCATAGGCCTGCGGACTGAAAGGTCCCAGGTTAGATTCCGGTCAAGGGCATGTGCCTTGGTTGTGGGCACATCCCCGGTAGGAGGTGTGCAGGAGGCAGCTGATCAATGTTTCTCTCTCATTGATGTTTCTAATTCTCTATCCCTCACCTTCTCCCTCCTCTCTTAAAATAATCAATAAAATATATTTTTAAAAAGCAAACAAAAAACTAGATTGTGGGGATGTTTGCACAACTGTATTTACTAAAACTCACTGACCTGTACACTTAAAATTGATGACTCTTAAGGTATGTAAAATCCTGAGTAAAGTTGTTGTTTTTTTAAATTAAGAAATAAAAGTGTATGAAACATCACAGCTATTGAAAATATGTAAATGGAAAAATAAATACTAACGTGCTAAAAATAATTATGTTAGAATGCTATGGAATTACAAATTTTCTTATTCTCAAATTTTTATAAAGTGTACTTCTGTTACTGTAATGCTAAAAAATGTAAAATTCCTTTTTAGGCAAAGAAGTATAAATTTTATAATTCTCCCAAAGCTGAACAGCAAAGTCTCTGATACTCCCAAATAGATATTAAACAATTCAATTTTTTTAAAATTACTGTAAAAATAAATACTAACCTTCCAGCTAGCAGTACAATGCCAATCTCCACTTTCACTTTTATCCCAGACCTATAAAAAAATTAAGACATATATTTCATACAAAGAATTCCAAAAAATTAATATGAAAAACATTAAGACTAAATTAGTATTAGGGCAAAGGAGGTGAACATGAATTCACAAGAGAATAAGCAAACATTCATTCTTTCATTCAAATATTTATTGAGAACCATGGATGTGTCAGGCACTGGGCTAAGCATTGGGTGGGATCAAGGCATCTGAGCTCTAACAAGAAATAGACACAATTAGAGTCAAGTCTTATTCAAGGTAGTTATGGTCTCTATGTTGACATAAACACTGAGTTAGTGAATACTGAATCATTGCTCCTAAGGCAAATACAAAAATAAATCAATGGAACTACATCAAATTAAAAAGCTTCTGCAAACAAAAAGAAATAATCAACAAAACAAAAAAACAACCAACCGAATGGGCAAAGATAATGTGCAAACGATACCTCCAAAAAAGGGCTAATATCCAAAATATATAAAGAACTCATACAACCCAATAACAAAACAATCCAATTTAAAACACGGGCAGAGGACCTGAACATTTTTCCCAATAAGACATACAGACAGCCAACAGATAGATGAAAAGAGCTCAACTTTGGGGGAAATGCAAATCAAAACCACAATGAGATACCACCTGTTAGAATGCCTACTAGCAATAAGACAATAACACACGTTGGAGAGGATGTGGAAAAAAGGGAACCCTCATTCTCTGCTAGTGGGAATGTAAACTGGCGGAGCCTCTATAGAAAACAGTATGGAGGTTACTCAGAAAATTAAGAATAGAGCTAACCGTATGACCCAGCAATCCCTCTTCTGAGTATCTACTCAAAAAATTTGAAGACATTTATTTGTAAAGATGTTTGTACCTCTAGCAGCATTATTCACAGTAGCCAAGGCATGGAAACAATGTAAAACTGTCCTTCAACAGATGGTTGGATAAAGATGTGGTACATAGCCGAAACCGGTTTGGCTCAGTGGATAGAGCGTCAGCCTGCGGACTGGGGGGTCCCAGGTTCGATTCCGGTCAAGGGCATGTACCTGGGTTGCGGGAAGAAAAAATGAAATACTGCCGGTTGATCTTGAGAGTATCATGCTAAGTGAAATAAGTCAGACGAAAAGGACAAGGAACATGATTTCACTCATATGTGGAATATAAAAAAGAAAGCAACAAAGGAACAAACAAAACAAACTCAGACATGGGACAATAGTATGGTGGTTTCCAGAGGGAAAGGGGCATGGGGGAGGATAAAGAGAGTAAAGTAGGTCAAATATATGGAGACAGGAGACTAGACTTTGGGTCGTGAGCACACAACGCAAAATACAGATGATGTATTTACACCTGAAACTTACATAATGCTATTAACCAATGTTACACTAATAAAGTTAATTAACAAATAAATAATAAAATTCAGAGTCTTAAAGAGATATTTGTTCATCCACATTCGCAGCATTATTCACAATAGCTACAATGTAGAAGCAACCGAAGCCCATGGACAGATAATTAAATGTGGTATAAACTAGTACAATACATATGGACTATTCAGCCTTAAAAAGAAAATTCTGACATATGCTACAACATTCAAAGGCATTACACTACGTGAAATAATCCAGTTACAAAAAATACAAATGTATGATTCCACTTATATGAGCTCGTCAAATTCACAGAAGCAGAAAGGTGGTTTCCGGGGGCTGGGGAATTAAGAGCTATTATTTCATGGGTACAGAGTTTCACTTTTGCAAAACCAAAAAGTTCTGGAGGTGGATGGTTGCAGAAAGATATGAATTTACCTGATATTGTTTACTGTACACTTAAAAATGGGTAAGATGGTAAATTTTATTTTATGGAAGATGGCAAATTGGATTTTACCACATAAAAACATTTAAATGGGGGGAAATGTCATGATAATGTCTGACATAAAAAATGATGCTATCAAATCAATACTCTCACTGGCAATTTGCCAATTATTCTCAAACGCTTTTAAAGTATTTACTAATTTCTCTACTGGAATGAGCCAAGGAAACTATCCAAAATATATAAAAAGCTAAAGTAATGGAGCCGAAACCGGTTTGGCTCAGTGGATAGAGCGTCAGCCTGCGGACTGGAAGGTCCCAGGTTCGATTCCGGTCAAGGGCATGTACCTGGGTTGCGGGCACATCCCCAGTGGGAGATGTGCAGGAGGCAGCTGGTCAATGTCTCTCTCTCATCGATGTTTCTAACTCTCTATCTCTCTCCCTTCCTCTCTGTAAAAAATCAATAAAATATATATTTAAAAAAAAATAAAATAAAATAAAGTAATGGAGATCTTCACAGCAATACTAACAGACAAAACCTCCAATTTGAATGATCTGCCAGATGATTCAGTAATAAGCGGATAAGGAAAAAAAAAAGTAACTACCTACTCAGTTAACAGACATGAATGCAATATTCACAACAGCCAAAAGGTAGGTGAATAAACAAAATGCGCTGTATACATACAAAATATTACTCAACCTTAAAAATGAAATTCTGATACGTGCTATAAATATGAATGAACCTCGACAACATCACAATAAGGGAAATAAGCGAGACATAAGAGGACAAATGATGTATTCCACTTATATGAAGTACAAGCAAGAGCATTAGAGGGGACCAGGTGCCAGGTGGAGAACGGAAGAGGGAGCTACTATGTACAGAGTTGCTGGTTAGGATGGAGAAAAAGTTTCCGAGATGTACAGTGGTGATGGTTGCACAATGAGAGTGTTGTGCTTCACACCGCGGAACCATCATGTACAATTTAAAATGGTGAGCTTAGCCTCATCCTCTCCAGGTCCATCCATCCTGTCTCCAAGGGTAAGAGATCCAACCCTCCAAGTCCTAGATTGTAAGCAGAGAGCCTCACTGGGTGTAAGCGGATCTGCATTTACTGAACACAAGGCGAGAACGATCTCCCCAGGTGAGGGATGAGGCGCCCACCACGGACTGACCGCACTCCAGGTGCCGCGCGGCACAGTCCTCTCACCGAACAAGCTTAGTATCAGAGTACAGCTACAGCCAGAACTCCAGGGACCCACAAACCCTACCGGAGACGACGCTGAGGAACCTCCCTGCTCCCGTCCACAGGGACCCAAACCAGGGTTCGCGGGAAACGGCGGGCTCTCACTGTCCCCAGGGGCGGGAACGCGCACGTGGCCAGGACGCCCGCCCGCTCAGCACCGGCGCCCCGCAGCGCCCTGGGCCGGCTGTGTCCCCACTAAAGGGGGCGAGGATGGCCGGGAGGAGCTGGCCTGCCTGCCTTGGGTTCCAGGCCTGCTGCGCGGCGGCGCGCCCCGATATCGGAAGTCGTCCCCTTTCTACGCGCCAGTGCCTCCGCTCAAACAGCGGATCGCGCACGCCCCACTCTCCTCCTTCCGGGATCGGCCGCGCCCGAAGGCTCGGTGCGCACCTTGACGCTCTGGTCGCTAGAGCAGGTCGCCATCCGCCGCCCGTGGAAATCGAAAGATACATCATGGATGAGATCCTTATGGTCCGCCGCGATGCTGCGTGCCACAAACATGGCTCCCACAGGGCCCGAGC